TAATTTTAACATGTTGCTACAAATGTTATCTGTACTTATCTTTAACGATAGCAAAAATAATGAATGCAAAATATGGTTCATTCATTTTACAATTTTAGGGATTAAAACATTTAATAGGTTGGATCCTGGATTACAAAAAAAATAGCTGATTTGGTTTTAATCCTGTTTAGGTAACGATTTTATTGCAAAAAAAAGCTATATCCAACTCTTGTAATTCAATAACATAAAATTCCCTTATAAACTTTTCAACAGTTCTGAATAAACAAGTTGTCATGAACAGTTAATTTTATACAGCTTATTAACTTGTTAAATTGTTGAACATGAAATTACAGATTTGGTTGGAAGCTTGCAATTTATATATTTTCTTCCTTAGAAATAGAAATTTTATTGATATATATTTTTACATATATTATTTGTTGATTAACAAAAAAAAATTCCTTCAACTGTTACACGTTTTAGATAAAAAAAAATATATACAATCAAAATATTTAAGTTGTAAGAATTCAAGCAGCCCCAAAATAATAGGCCAAAGATCACAAAATACATTTGAGAACAGTGGTGCTAGTGAATAAAGCATGACTTCAATTTTTTTTTAAATTTGTAAGTGGAAATTTCAGGTTAGAAAAATCAGGAAAGCAGTTAAAAATGATAGAAGCTTTGAAGGCTGTAATTGAAAATGATCTCAAATCCTTCAATGAGAAAACTTACAGCAAATAACAGCATTCTGATTGTAATAGATTCTATTTCAAATCATTAAAAAAAAAAAAAAAAAAAAAAAAAATGCTTAATAAATGATTTCCATTTTAACTGAAAATGATCCATATTTACATCCTATCACTTTTAATCATGATTAACATGCAATGTAATCTGGTTGGATACAGATGGGGAAAATAAAACAAAGTAAAACTGCAGTTTAATTACTTGAAAGTTGGGAACATTCAGTTGAACATAAATTCCTTGCAAGAAAGTAACAAAGTCAGTTATCAAGTGTTAAAAAAATAGGCTTAAATTTATGCACAAATATGACTGACAATTTATGGATGAACAACAATGACAAAAGTGAAAGCTGCATTCAAGGTGTCAACACCTAATAATTAAGAAGCTTGTACATTGAAAATATTTAAATCAATTTAAAGAAAGGTTAATTACAACCCTTTTGGTCACTATTATTTTGCTAGCCTAAAAAAAAAAAATTAGGGACATTTCATTTCATTATAGTTGGAAAATGCAAGTGAAGAGGTGGTTTGTATATCAACACAAATAGCTGTTATGTAAAATATCTGTACAGAAAATTTACTTTTTGATTGTTTCCTTTTAAAGAAAAAATTTGAAACTTCATGTCCTCAACAAAAAAAAAAAAATAAAAAAAAATAAGAAAAGGACAGATTTCCCTTGACACCGATATTATTTTAACTACCTTCACTTCTCGGCAATGTTCATTTTAAAAAGTGATGATTAGAAATGTAATAAAACCTAAACATATGATGAAAGTGAATTTATACATTTTCTTTGTTCTTGAGAATTGCAACAAAAAAAAAATAAATAAATATTATTTATTAGATTATAAGGATTTACTTATAGCTGATTCACATATTTAAACAATTTAATAAATGTTTATTAATTTATGAATAAGAAATTGTTTTCATATTTATTTCTTTATAAATTGGTAAATGACAAAAAATATTACATTAGTTTTAATGGCATTCACTTTTAGAATGTTGTAAATAAACAATCTAATAAATTGTGTTTAACATTTTTGTTGTAAGTTTTCAAGAACAAAAAAAAAAAAAAGATGTATAAACTCACTTTCATCATGTTTAGGTTTTATTACAATTCCAATCATCAGTTTCTAAAACAAACATTGCCAAGGAGTGAAAGTAGTTAAAATAATAGCAGTATCAAGGGAAAAACCATCCTTTTTACAGGAATCTAAGTTCAAGCTTGTTGAAACTTTTTTGTAGTTCATTCATTTGACATTGCATAAAAATAAATTATTTTTTGTCAAATCCTCTTCAATGAAAAAGGTTCTTCACTTGATATTGAGGATACTTTTTGTTGATTTTTAATCACAATGCATTGTGCCAGAAAGCAGCTTCTATATATGCTAACTGCATAGTACATATTAAGCAATAAAAAAATGTTAGTTTTTGGAAAATTCTTACATTTCTACAGTATTAAAATATCAACATGCTGATTCATAAAACTCAAAGGATGCAGTAACTTTTTTTTTTTTATCTGGGCACCCCAAGGACACAACTAAAGTTTCCCATGAAAAGTGATATATTGCACATATTATTTCAAATACTTTTCACTTACTCTTTTCGTCTTTCATTGGGTGGTAGGATGTGCAGATGGCATGAAATAGACATCAATGTTGCTATGCCAGACACATTTTTGGTTATTTTTTTTGTTTTTAATTTGACATGGCTGAACTCATTGAAGTTTTGCAACTGTTGCTTTAAATACTGTTTTTGTTTTAAATTTATCAGTTTAATGGAAAAATTTTTTTAAAAATAAACAAAAAAAAACAATTGTTTTGTCAATTGAAAATGTTTGTTCTGTCATAATTCTCCCCAAATTTTAGTTTAATAGAACTGTGATTATGTGTAAATACTGTTTTGTCTTGAATTTATTAATTAAAAAAAAAGTTGTTCTGTCAATTTAAATGATACAGCATCATTAAAATTGTTCTTAGGGATGATGGATGAAAAATAAAAAAAGTCTGTAGCTCTGCAGTTTAACATTTATCATTCTGTATATGACTTTATTTGCTGTACAAAAAAAGCATCCTGCCACTGAAGGTGGCTCTGAGCCCTGAACAATAGTTTGTTTGAATTTCATAGTTGTGTTGCCATATCCTGTTATGACAACAGAAAACAACTTTGAGTGAAATTAACAATAAGGATACTGCAATTGGGAAACATTATAAAAGAATGCAGTAGAAAGGGAAGTAATATAAATAATGCATGCTGCATTATTAATATTACTTACCAGTGTTAAGTCAAAAATTTATTAAGACACTTTAGTTGGAACCCATGGAATTTCACAGGGTCTCATCCAAATCACCTGTAGGTCCTCATTACTCACTACATTAAAAATCTATCACCATCACTGTATCATTATATAAAAATATTTCATGTTATTTTATATATATATATATATATATATATCTCAACTACAAAATCTTATGTAAGAAACTGAATGAGTATATAAATGGTTAGCATTGTGTTAAATTACCACCCTACCTCTTTAGCTTTTATTTATTAGGAAAGTTGACCGTCAGATTCTATACATCTTACAAAATAATGTAACAATTTGTATCTGTCCATAAGGAAGTTGTCTAGGATTTATATGCAGACAACTTCGTGTCATGACCTATATTAAAAATATTTTTTCAATTTAGCGTAGGTTACATTTGATTGGTTAATCACAGCAAAGCTCACAAGCCTTTTTTTATTTGTTTTTTTTTCTTCTGGGAAAAGAATAAAAAAAAGAAAAATTAGCATTCTACTTTTGAAATTAAATTAATCGTTCACTTGCCAGTAGTTTAACATTGTCCAAGGACACACATTTGTAGTGTTGAAACATAATTGTAATTGTGTAGTGATTTTTTTAACATGTTTTTGTTTTAATATCCTAAAATAAGTAATATTTAGTGCTACTTTGTATTGAGCCATCTTTTAAATTAATTGCTACATACAGTGGAATTATACTCCATTTGTTCTCATTTTACCTGGAGATATATATATATATATATATATATATGAAAAATGATTTTAAAAAATAGACAAATTATCATCCTTTTTCTAACATTAGAAAACAGACCTTAAATTCTTTATTTATGGTAAACTTATTAAATTCTACTTTAAACAGTAAAGATTACAGAGCTCAGTGCAGAGATATTTTTGCTAAATGACCATATATTTTTGTTAACCACAAAATTACAAGGTATTTCTATACATAATATTCTAATAAAGTAGAATCTTAAAAAAATGTTAGGCATGAATGTTTCATTCAGTTTCTCATAGATAAATTTTTTTAATAAGTTACATAAACAAAGAACTGTGAAAACAATCAAACTTATAAAAATAAAAAAAATATCAACATATATCAATAATTAAAAGGATTAGTCAAACACAGAAACAAAGATCAAAATGAAATTTATCAAAACCCAATATTATGTAAAATTCTACAATCCTACAGGAAATGTAGGACAGGAAAAGGCTAAAAGCAAAGAACTTATAAGTGACTTTGAAAGTGACTACAAAATGACTTTAATAAACAGTAAATAATTAAACTGTCAAAATCAAAGCAAATTGCAAATTTTATAACAGATTTTATTTAAAGATTTTTAACTTAATAAAATATTTTCTAATAGCAACTTAAATTGATTAAATAACTTTGGTAAAAACTAAGTTTTAGGGAAGCATTTAAAAACAACGTTCAGCATAGAGAGAAATGTCAATAAAAATCACATTTGGAAGGAAATGTCAATAAAAATCACATTTGGAAGGAAATGTCAATAAAAATCACATTTGGAAGGAAATGTCAATAAAAATCACATTTGGAAGGAAATGTCAATAAAAATCACATTTGGAAGGAAATGTCAATAAAAATCACATTTGGAAGGAAATGTCAATAAAAATCACATTTGGAAGGAAATGTCAATAAAAATCACATTTGGAAGGAAATGTCAATAAAAATCACATTTGGAAGGAAATGTCAATAAAAATCACATTTGGAAGGAAATGTCAATAAAAATCACATTTGGAAGGAAATGTCAATAACTCGGACAACACTAATACCAAAACTTTATATATAAATTCCATACATGACAAACCATCTAAACAGATTTGTTAATTAAAACAAAAAGTACTAATGCTAAAAACAGAATATTGAGAAGTTTTTAATGCAAGTAACCAACAAACAACCAAGTAAAAAAAACAAATAGAACAAATTAATGTGTAAGAGAGAGAGAAAAAGAAAAATATTAGCCTTACCATAACTGTTCCAGAGACAGTGGAGACAGGACCAATTGATTGAAGCTGTTGAGCCTGGGCAGCTGCCACAGTGGGAGATACATGAGCAGGGTTAGCTGTGACAACCTGAGGTACCTGCTGCTGTTGCTGCTGCTGCTGAGTGACCGGAAGCTGCACCTGACCAGGCTGTAAAGTTCTGGCTGGTGGTAGCTGCTGGTCTGCAGACCCATGCTATATAGTAAGAAAAATTTGATTACTTGAAAAGTTATGCACATAAAAATACATATCTATATAAATGCTAGGGTGGCTAGCCAATCTCTGTTGAAAATTTGTGTTTATTCAACATAAACAGAACCCACAATTTCTAGGAGAGAGCATATCATCTGGCATGATCAACAGTTTCAACAAAGTCAGTATGCTCAAACCCTCAGTCACAATGACTAGTGACATTGTGTGAGCATGATCATCAACAAAATTCTGCCTACCTAATTTCACTCACAAGTCTTGGGTCAACCTACAGTGGTTTTTAAACTTTCCAAAGGTTGCACACAGTGGAACCAATAGAATCAAGTAAACTTTTTGACAAATTAACTATGGTACAGTGAGATTCAAACTCGGGTTTCGTTGGTTGGAATGCAAACATTCTTAACTACATTGCCACACACCTATATATGTGTGTTAATAAAAACAAAAGGAAAATTTTTTCTTTATCAACACATTTCATCCTGTGATAGACTTTATCAATGCAACTAGTATTTATAAAAAAAAATTAAAAACACCATTAGGTTTTAAAATTTTTTAAATGCAAGTTTTTTTTGTTTTTTTATAAAAATTCATCAGAGGATGAAATGCATTATTAAAAAAAAATTTTGTTTTCCTTGTCTTTATAAATATCTTTTTTTACAGATATATTTTTTATTGATGTCTGTAGATAAGCAAAGACACATTTTTATTCATATATATATATATATATATATATATATATATGAGGCAGTTGTCTGTCTGAAATAAATTACCAAACTCTTTAATGATGTATTGAGTTTTTCCTTTGAGAGATATATATATATATATATAGTATCGCACACTGATCACTGGTGATAAAATAGTTGCCAATGTAATATAACAGAGCTATAAATTATATATTAATGAACTAGCCAAATTACCTGTACTTTGCTGTGTACCACACATTTTTTGTAAGAAAATGATCATTGATTTTAAATCATTGTTATAATTTGTACAGAAAAATGATGCATTTCAATATTACCCACTGATCTTGCCAATGTAACCGCTGTCTTCTGGTTTTCAACTCCTATATTTTGGCTTTTCTCTGGTTCAAATTTAAATTTAACTTAAATCAAAGAGAAAAAATTTTCCGGAGAGAGTGCAAAAACAGCTTGATCTGACCCCTTTGATATGTATTTGATGCAATACTCGATTGAATGAATTGATGAGCAGATTTCAACATTGATATAACAGTAGAATTGTTGCAACAAATATGTATTGTAAGGCACAACCCACTGATTGGTGATTTCTTGACGTCTATATTGTCTCATTTTGATCTTACTGATGTGACCTCCATATTCTGGCTTTCTCCTTCTATATTTTGGGATAGGAGTCATTCCCTTGTTCAAATTTAAATTTAATTTATATCAAAGGGAAAAAAATTTCCAGTATCGACTCCTTTGATCAAATTGAAATATATTAATTCAAGAACCATGGTTAGTATAGTTTCAGAATATATATGGCTATGGGAGCCTATCTCCAAAACCCTAGGAGGAGTTTGATAACAGACAGACATTGGCTACAAGTTTAGATATAGATATATAGATGAATATAGATATAGATATATATATATAGATAGATATAGATATAGATGAATATAGATATATAGATGAATATAGATGAGAGATATAGACAGATATAGATATAGATAGATAGATATAGATAGACAGATATAGATATATAGATAGATAGATATAGATATATAGATAGATAGATATAGATATATAGATAGATAGATGATATAGATATATAGATAGATAGATATAGAGATAGATGAATGAAGATATATAGATAGATGAATGAATATATAGATAGATAGATCTATATAGATATATAGATAGATGAATATAGAGATATAGATATAGATATGAGATAGATATAGATATGAGAGATAGATAGATATGAGATGAATGGATATAGATGTAGAGATGAATGAATATAGATATATAGATAGATGATATGAGATAGATAGATATAGATATAGATAGATAGATATAGATATAGAGATAGATAGATATAGATATATAGATAGATAGATATAGAGATAGATAGATATAGATATAGAGATAGATAGATATAGATATATAGATATAGATAGATAGATATAGATATATTCAGCACCTGAAGATTGTACTGGTCATGAAGCTCCAAGTCGTGCTACCAGTGAGAAAAAATAATTGTATATTTATTATTATTATTACTATTATTATAACACACACAAATAAATATATATATATATATATATATACACACACAAGTTTAGTTTTGTCTAAAAAGGTAAAGTGCTTAATGAAATCTGTCAATATTTTGCTTGACTGTCACAGGTACTGCATAATTTTTTTATTTTAAAATTGAGTTTATTGAAAAAAAACTTTTCTAAAAAAAATTGTGGCACAAAGAATAAACAAAATCTACAGGTATTTTTTTCCTTGAACCAAAAGCAAGCGCCAAGTTATTTATCTAATTTCAAATTATTAACTTACTGTTGCAACTTGACTTTGTTTCTTTTCTCGCAGTATCCTTTCAGCACGGTTGGTGGCTACCTCAATTGGATTCAATGGCTGCTCATAATCAATTCCATTATCTGTCAATACAGAGATGTGCTTTGGGTTTTTTGGTCCCTGACTGCCTGTTTGACGTAATGGAGGCTGTCTTTTGCCAGAAAGAATTTTCATCATGTCAAAGCGGCCTGTGTACAAAGACGTTGCTGCAGAGTAGCTATCTTGTCCATAGAGCTGACTAGTTTTAATTGGGCGATTATTCTTCGTCTAATAAAAAAAAAAAAAAAAAATAGAAAAGCATTTTCATTTTAAAATGTAGACCTTTTTTTTTCCACAGATTAACAAAAATTTTGACAATAATTATTACTAAAACTTTAAATTATGATAAATGTTTAAATGAATTTAGTATTGAGCAATATAAAATGAATATTATTTTTTTTCTTTTTTACTCCTATCACTGCATGCAAGGCAGTAATGCCACTAAGACACAGAGAGTTATTGAGTGTAAAAGAATACGAAAATGAGAAACATTATTAAGGAGTGAGAACAATAGAATATGAAAATAGAAAATGAATCAGGAAAACACTAGATAACAATTGATATTATACTTATTTTTTTTTTTTTAAATAAAAAGCATCAAGCTGAAAGAGTGTTCCACAAGTGAGAAGTACAAAAAAAGGAATCATAGAATTTACAGTTACATCTAGCCAATTCTTATGTAAAATGCTAAGACCTTTCTGCCAATCTAGTATTGTGCTTAAATTCATAAAGTATAGATACCATAGCAAAGAGTTCATCTAAATAATTACCATGAATGTATTTATAGAAATGGCACAATGAAACTATATAATACCAGGTTAGGACCAATAATATTGCTGATTCTTAGCAGCAATATTCAAAGCATGGGCAAATGCTAAACTTATAAATAGATTCAGGAAATTGTATAGTACAACACAATGAGTCAACTTTTCTAGCAGCAGACCTAGCAATGGATTCAATATAATCTTCCCACTTCATGTTAGCCAGGAATATTAACTAGAGAAGGTACAATTAGTCACTCTCATGGAGGTTAGTTTCAGCCATGCTGATGGGAAACAAGGAAGGATCTTTCAGGTGATTGATAGTGAGAAGGCATTAAAATTAACAAGCCATTCCTTGCCCCACTTAACCACAGATTGTAGGTTTTTTTTTTTTTAAGATCAGCTGCCAATTTGACCTTATTGAACTGATCAGACTATCAAGACAGGTGTAAATGGTTATGCCATTAGCATAGATATCAAGTTGAGAACTGATGTCATCAAGAAGGTCACTGATGAAAATTAAGGACAAAGTAAATCGGAAGATAGAGCCTTGGGGGACACCTGCATTAGGGTAAAAAGATCTAGAAGATTGGCCATTCTGGACAACTTTCATTTTGTCAATTGATAAGAAAGACTGAATCAGTTCAAAAATTTGTCCAGAAATACCATAGCCTTTCAAATTATGAAGAAGACCAGTATGCCAAACCTTGTGAAATGCTTTCAAGATATCCAAAGCAACACTCTGTGCTTCACCAGTCTTATCTAAAGCTTGATAGACTCTTTCAGTAATAATCATTAGTACACCAACAGTTGACCTAAAGAAGTAATGTCATATTGCTTGTCTGAAAAAAAAAAAAAAAAATTCAGAGTTGATTAAGGACTCTACAAGTTTGCCAAAAAGAGGCCACCAAAGGCTAAGAAGGCAATAGTTTGAAGGGTCAAATGGTTCACCAGAGTTCTTAAAGACTAGAATAAGAGAGAATGATTTCCAACAAGCAGGAAAGCAAGAGGTAGCAAGGTATTTATTGTACAGGTTATAGAGAACAGAAGTCAATTCAAGAGGACTATTACAGGGATACCATCAGATCCATATGTTTTGTAGGGATCCAGATTAAAGATGATAGCAGAATCATTTGTAGGGATCCAGATTAAAGATGATAGCAGAATAAAAAACATTTTAATTACCTTATATATTCCCTTTGTCTTCTTCTGCTTTCGTGGATTTATATCATACAGAAGTCGTCCTTCTTCACGTGGAATAATCACATTTTCATATCGGTTTTTACACTGTTTGGGTGAGCGATAATTTCTGCTACAGCAATTGACAACATCAGCAACTAATTCCCAGTTGGCAATGCGGGCAGGTGACAATACAGTTAAGTTCAATGTTAGGTCCAAAAGAGACAACACAGCCTATAAAAATAAATAAATCAATCAATCACAGAAAATGGGTATATATTACAAACAATAGAAAATTAATTGCTGAAATGAACTAAGTGAATTTAAATATCATTTAGAGCTTGTAAATTACATTTGCATTTTTTAAAACTTCAATTTTAATTCTTAAATTTTGAAAAGTAAGTGAATAAATCTTCAAATCAAGCTAAATACATTTTAAACACTTGCTTAGTCATTCAGTCATGAATAATTTTATTTAGGTGGACATTCAAACCTAAAAAAGAGAATATTTGTTTTACTGAGAGAGAGACAAAATTGAAACCAGTAATCTAAACATGGTTAGAGTAATAAAAACAGAAATTTTAAGGGGATTTATTTCCTTAAATTATACTTTCTATCATAAAAATTATGGAAAAGAAATCTGTAATCATGAAGTCTACATTAAGAATACTGAGCTGATAGAAAAATGGGTGTGAGCCAAGGCCATACCTATGGCAGGCCAGACAATCATGCCTGGGGTCTCTTATAAAGGGTGATGTGAATTTTCTTGGATAGTCAATATATCAGTTGCAAACAGGGAAAAATTTCGCTGTAAAATTAGTTTGATGTTTTTATGTGTTTTACATACCAAGAACTACAATGAGCTAATTGGCAAATTTGGCAATTATTAATGAATTCCTATAAATGAAGAGACAGAATGAATATTTCAGAGTGATTTTTATTTTCATGTTTTAATTTTTTAGAGAAATTGTACTTGTGTCAAAACATCTTGACTTATATATTGTGGTAATAAAAAAAAAAAAAAAAGGATCTGCAGTTGATATAATATCAAGCACAGAAATAAGTTTATTCAAATGTGGTAATATGTGCTTTACTAACCAAAAATTTAAATTGTACTCATTTTGATTGTTTTCAACACAACATTTTGGCTATAGTCTTCATTTGACAGCATAAAATAATCCAAAAACAAAGTTCAAACTAAAATTTCAGCATCCAAATCTCTAGTGTGGTCTTGTAGTCAATTAAACTAAGCAAACATACATATAATAATTTACCTCATTAGTAAATAAAGACTATCAGGCTGTATAACTAATAACTATAAGAATGTTGTGTTTTGTATTATAAAATAGATGATACAGGTTTTCATTTATGTGTGATTGGATGGCAGATAAAGGACATGGAAATAAAGGGAGAAAACATTACTTAGAACTACAAGGAATAGAAAGTTGTGGAGAGGCATGATCATCCACATCTTAAAGGGACACAGCACATAAATGATATAGACTTAATTACATCGAAGGTGGAACAAGTGGATGATGATTACAACAGATCTCAATGGTTGAACAAGTGAATGAAGGGGGCTACGCACGACAGACATGCTATAGAAGGCACGCCACTCAAAATTATAACAGAGTCAGCAGCAGTCTGTTGTAGTTTAATAACTGGATTCTGCATACCTCATTCCATATGTGTAGCAGAGGAAAGTAATGAAATCACTTCCTGACAAGTTGAGTTCCACCTTAAACAAATTCATGTCATCAGCAATTTCTTCTACACTGATTTTCTTTTACCTTCAATCAACTCTTGCAAAGCCAAACAGCAATAAGGAATTGATGACGAGAGCAGGTTTTGGTGAAACTGGAAACTTCTAGTCCTGAACCTGCACACTGGCAGTAAATATAGTCATCAACACCATCATCATAAAGGAAGTGATCAGTAAATTAAATTCCTCAATATGGAATAAAGTCAACAGTGGCAAAATAATTCTAAGTGAATGTTTGAGGTGCTACACAATCATTTTAGGAAATTAATTGAATAGTTTTTAGAATGAGAAGATATTTGAAAGTACAAAGCATTCTTTTATCTTTTAAATTTTACCTTACACAATAAAAATATATCAAAAGAAAAAACTAATACATAAGAGAGAATAGTAAATTGAATAATATTTACTTGTAACAAAGCCCAGTCCTCATGAATCAACCATTCAGGATGTTCCTCAACTGGTTCAACTGGTTGTTTGTTTGACACAACCTGCATCGGACGGAATGGTTTGATCAAGCCATGTTTCAGTTTCTGCAGTTTGGCCTCACGACGCATCTTTAGCAGAGCTGCCGTCGGGCGATCAAACAATGAACGAGGAACTCTCAGCTGTTCTTCTTTGCGTTGCTTCTGCTTTCGTGCTGAAGTACAAGAGGAAAAACCTTTTTTTAAATTTGAGTGTTGAGTGAAAGACTCTACGGAAGTGGAAAGAAAAAGAAAAAGAAAAATTAATGATACCAACATGGAATTAAAACATCATATATATAAAGAGGATTAAATCCCAAATACATGAAATGATTTTTAAATATAAGAAAAAAAAGAATTCTACTCTTATTAGGTAATATGGTCAGATAATTTTATAATAAAGAATTCTACTCTTATTAGGTAATATGGTCAGATAATTTTATAATAAAGAATTCTACTCTTATTAGGTAATATGGTCAGATAATTTTATAAAGAATTCTACTCTTATTAGGTAATTAGGTCAGATAATTTTTTTTTTCTTTGCTGAATATTCTTCCCAAGGTCAATTCAAATTGAGGCTTAATTGGAAGGGGAAAATTCTCAAGGAAAGTAATAAAATAAAAATATAGTAACAAGTTTAAGTTTTCATAATTAAGGTTTATTAAGTAAAAACTTGAAAGCATGGCATAAGAGAAATATAAAAAAGAAACATAGGTTGATACATACTTGTTACAGTTTCAACTTTAGGACGTTTATGTTCTTTTCTGACATAAACTGGTGGCAGTTGTGTTTCTGGCATAACAGTTGGCTCATACAAGAAAAACATTGTCTTATCAATGTAGACATCATTATCATCTTGTGGTGGTGTTGGAGGTGCCCACATCTGAAAAATATTATTGATAGTATGTAAACTCTGTAGCATATATAAATATATGTTAATATATTGTTATAGATTATTTATAAAATATCCACTACTTTAGTTTATTAATATATATTTATATATTATGAAATGGACTAAGTCCGACAATTATTTTAATATATTTGTTATACATTATTTATAGAGATACAAATATTTAAGTAAATGATCTGTTTATAATAAACAGTATTAACAACATTTACTGGCTTAAATATTTGTCTATATAAATAATGTATAACAATAAAATATATTAAAATAATTGGTAGACTTAGTCCATTTCATAATATATATAAATATATATTAATAAAATAAAGTGGTGGATATTTCCATTTATTTCATTAGTGATTAGCTAAATGTCCAACTTTTGCAAATTTATAGAGATGTTTACTTGATAGTTACAATATTGGACATAATCAAGTGCTTATAAATAAATATAATTAGTATATGTAGATAGATAGGAAACTCAATGACAAAGTGGAAAATAGGATTGAGGATTCATCAAACTAATGTGCTGTTTACATTGATATGACTACATATGTACACAAAGAAAAGGGAACATTGAAATTTTAAACTTTTAGATGGTTTTTAAATATGTGTTTAGTATATAATCTACACCAGTGATACTCAAAGTGATAGTCCACAAGCTGGTGCCGGTACACAAACCATCAGCTACCAGTATGCAGTTAGTGTCCAAAATAAGAGAGAATGATTTCCAACAAGCAGGAAAGCAAGAGGTAGCAAGGTATTTATTGTACAGGTTATAGAGAACAGAAGTCAATTCAAGAGGACTATTACAGGGATACCATCAGATCCATATGTTTTGTAGGGATCCAGATTAAAGATGATAGCAGAATCATTTGTAGGGATCCAGATTAAAGATGATAGCAGAATCATTTGGAGCTTATTTCTAAGGAATCATTTGGAGCTTATTTTTTTTTATTACTTTTTATGTTTTGATATTGAATTATTTTTTGCAAAATAAATGAAAGATAAAAAATAGTCAACTTTTATTATATTCCTTATACATATCATTCCCGATATAAATTAATACTACCACAAAATATTACAGGTATGTGACATTGAGAAAAAAAAAATGATATAGCTTGAGAAGCACTGGTCTAGCCATTTACTTTCTTTTTCGTTAAAAAAAGAAATTAAAAGTTTGAAATTTCAGCATCCTCTCTCTTGGGAAAGGCACAAATCCATTTCCTCTCTCCACTTCACCTAAAGGTTAAAATTGCAGTGTGGGTAGCTCTCTAGCCTTCAGTAACAACCAATCTTAGAGAAGGAAAACAAAATTCCAAACTGTGAAGACAAGGGTCAGTCAATTCACTATATTTCCCAAGAATGCATGGTAATTAAAAAAATCATTGAACAAGACTTGATTTCAAAGGAATAATAAAATCAATAAGTACATTTCATAAAGATGGCACTAAAAAAAAAAAAAAAAAAACATTTGAAGGATGCTTTTGATAGCATTTTAAATAACCAAATGTTTCAGAGATTGCTACTTTGTGTCATTAAATTTACTTATATAAAAAAAAATAATTTCTTATGAAAATTATTGTATAACAAACACTTACTGGCATTGGCTCATGATCAATATCACATTCATAAACCTGAAAAATAAGCAATAGTTAGTTTCAAATCAAAATTCACATAACATTTCTTTTATTAATTTAAAAAAAAAGAAAAAGAAAAAAGAGGTTTAAAGTATATATAAAAAATAATTAAAAATTAGAAAATTAGATATCAGTTTTGGGTCTCTCTAGCCAATTACATATATATATATATATATATATATATATCTCATTTTCCATTCAAAAAAAAAAAAAAAAACCAACATTTTTCCTTTCTGCTAATAAAGCCTTAAAAGAAATCAACCTACTACAGAATATAGAAATATTAAACATGTAACTTTTTGTGGTGGTGGAAGGGCATAATGGACTGAAGGGGGCATAATGGACTGAAGGGGGCAATTAGACAGCTTTAAGAGGATCTATCTATTTTCTCATTTATATTTATTAAATAATATAAGCCTATCATGTTTCCTTTGCATCAAGAAAAAAATGTATTTTATCAATAGATCTACTATATATACTCAATTATAATTTGAGTTC